CCAGCTGGAGGAGATCCAGAGCTGTCCCACATGAAGAGGGGTAGCAGAGGGAGCCCAGACTGTAAAAAGAACAGGACTTTGTCTAGAGCAAGGGTCTGTCAGCTTGAGTTAAGGTAGTGAAATCTGGCACTGAGAACTATGAGAGTTTCCCTGGCTTCTGCTAAAGTCAGTGATTTTTGTCAATCTGCCTGAGAAGGCCAGTAAGGAATGAAAGAGATCCTGAGAGCAGAGTAAAATGTGGCTGGAAACTTCCTTTCAGTTTATCCTTTAGCTTCTTCTATATGGGAGGCACCATCCATGGTACAACATGCTCATCAAAGCTAACCAAGAGCTCTTTCAATAAAAATACTTTCACTGAAAAATGCTGTTTCACTGAAAACACACTTTGGAGGCAGAAAGTATAGCCATTTCAAAAAGATGGTGTTAGGAAAAGTTTCTTGGCTTCAGAACTTCATTTTAGAGCAAGCTACACCCCTGAGAGCCCCATGGTCTGGTGTTCATAGGCTATACCCATGAAGTAAGAGACCTTAATTAAGCCACTGCTCTGGCTGAATGAAATCAGGGCTTAATCACCTCCTCTGACTCAGAGGATAGCCTCAGCCTGCAATGCTCAGTTCTGAAGGGACATAGTTGTTGGGAAGGTATTGTGAGGCCTCCCTGGAGGAGGTAGGTAGTACTTCCTTGCTCCTGCTGTATGGTAAGAGAGAATGTGGGTTAGAACCAGCTCAGCCACCTCTTGGATGAGTGCTCTAGCAGGGGGTTTGGGATGGGTGGAAGGGATGAGAGGTTTTTTGGTTTGTTGTTGGGTTTTGTTGGCTTGGTGTGGGTTTTTTTGTTTGTTTGTTTGTTTGTTTTTAAATTTAGGTCTTCAGAGTTTCTTGGTTTTGTTCTTATAGTGCAGCTGAAGCATTTTTCAAATCTGAGGTTTTGTAAGAGTGGTGAAAATTTTCCCATTCAGTTCTTATGATTCCATACTAGTAAGTAGTAATAGTAATGTTAAAGGGCTGAACAACGTGTCCCCACATATATGAGATATGTTAGTGTTTTTCTTTGAAAATGGGACTTATCTTTAGGTGTGTTGATACAGGACCCTCAAAAGGGCTTTATTAGATTTCAGTTGCATCGAACTGGCATGAAGTTCTTGTTCTCCACAAGTCATTTATCTTGTAGCTTTCCTGGGAGTCTCTTTGATGACTTACAAAATTCTCAAGAATCCTGCTCTGTTCCGTAACTACCATGTTCTCAGTGGAAAGTTCTATTTTAAGCTTATTCAAAACATAATTTTTCTGTGAGGAAGTATAGCTGTTAGTTAATATCCACTGCAATTATACCAAGCAAAATACTTATTAAAAACCTTCCTTGTAGTTCCAGGTTTCAGTCACTTAGTTTTTTTTTTCATGTGCCTGCCATCACTCTCATAGAAAAAATCAGCCATGCTAAGAAGAAGAGATGTGAAAGAACTGCTTTCTATTGCTATGATTTTTACTGTGCTAAGAATTCCCATGTGTATAATTTTATTATTTTTCATAGGACTATGCAGACAGATAACTTCATCTAGAGTCTTGTATGGAGCTGTGGTCCTCCATGTTTAAGAAAGTGAATATAGAGTTGAGAGGATGGCTACTAGGTTGATTGGAAGAAAAGCACATGAAATGAGAGAAAGTTAGAAGAGCTTGATTTGCTTGGCCTTCAAATAGAGATCAAGAAATTTATTTCCTGTGTGAGGGGGCAGAAATACCAATATGGGAGAAAAGCTGTTTGAATTGAAGGTTGATTTCAGTGCGCAAACCAGTGAAAAAGAATGGGAACAAATGGAGCCTGGAAACTGAAGAAGTTGTGGGCTTCTGGAATAAACATCCTAGTCTGAATACTGGAGACAGTGCTGTATGGTGCCTGTTAGAGTAAGGGATCATGATCATTTCTTTAAGAGGCTCCCTTGGGAGTGTTCTGGTCAGCCCAGAGAAATGTGACAGACCTAGCCACATGTGGGTTAACCCCAGTGGGCAGCTTGGCCCTATGCAACTAATTGCTCACCACCTTCCCCACCCCATGCCCATGGGATGGGGGTAAGGATCACAAGGTACAAGTCTGAGAACTTGTGGTTTGAGATATAGGCAGGTTTTTGGTTTTGGGTTTTTTTTTTTTTAAAAAAAAAAAAAAGTAAAAGCAGAGGATGCAAAACCACCCACAATTGTTCTCCACCATCTGACCACGCAGTCCCTGAAAACTTCTCCCTTAGCTTTTATTGCTGAACAAAACATCATATGGTATGTGATATTCCTTTGGTCAGTTGAGGACAGCTGTCCAGGTTGTGTCCTTTCCCAACTTCTTGTGCATCCCCAGCAGCCTAATCTCTGGAGAGGCAGTGTGAGAATAAGTAAAGGTCCTGATGCTGTGTAAGCATTTCTCAGCAGTAGCTAATACATCAATGTGTTATCAACGTTCTTTTCATTAGAAGTTTAAAAGAAGCATCGTACCAGCTAGGATGAAGAAAATGAACTATCCCAGCCAAAAAGCAGTACATCACGGATAGATGCTTTGCAAAGATATGCCTTTCTTTTGTTGACGGTTCTAGGAAGGTAACCACTTGTATGGGCAACATGGCACCAGCATCTACAGCTGGTATATTACAGAGTTTGCTGTTGTGTCAGATGGTCTCCACCATGGCGGCTGGTGTCCAGTTCAGTACCTACCTTAACACTTCCGACTGCACTATGCAAGGACAGTAGTGTGACATTGATTTTAAAGCAAAACTTGTCACTGGGATCAATGGGAAATTGTGATTAAAACTGATGACACAATATGGCCCAATTTGCCCTGTAGAACAGACCCAAAAGGGCTCTAATGAACTTCCCATCCCTTCCATCATAGCTATAGTTTATGCCCACTGTATACTAGTAGATATTAAAATGCCTAGGGATTTTTTCTGTAAAAAAATTCCTCTTGACACTTGGGTTGGTTGTGCTATAAAGAGTAATTATACTTTGCGGTAATTTGGGACTCCAAATTTTAGCCTCAGCTGGAAAATAGAAGTGAAAAGTTTGCTTAAAAAAAAAAAAAGAAAAGTCAAAGATTAACTTATTTCCAGCACTGAATTAGCAGTTTATCCTGAAGGGTCATCTGAAATGCCAAGAGTAGGCTTAATTTTGGTTAAATTTGTCCCAGCCTGTCTTTTCACCTGTGATGATACTATGCAAGAGAGAGCCTGTGATCAGATGGTAAAATGCCTGTTGTTAAAAATCAGGAAAATGTTTCCTTATAAGCTAGACTTCAGAAACTGGCAGATTTCCTGTTTGAACTCTCAAGCCTATGGACTTGACTCTGGTCTGAGCTTTGCTTTCTCTCCTTTATCAAAAGATGACTAGATTTTATATTTGTATGTTGCTTCATCTTCTTGACCATCCTTCCTATTGGCAAGTCTTTCTAGGGCTGGGTTTGGAGAACTGGTTTTCCCACCCATGAGATCTTAACATGGTGTGTGACAACCTCAGAGAATCAAGTGGAAAGAGTTTCTACCAAGTCTCACAGCAGTTTTATTATGCCAGGGGAGAAAGAAAAGCACAAAGTGTGCACCACTGCCAGGTTAGGACTGGCTGCTGGTGAAGCTGGTGTAGCAATGATGACCGGGTCTTTCATTTTCAGGAGCGCTCTGCCTTCCATTTATACACTAGCTGTTCTCTTCAAATCCCAGCCTTGTCCCACCTTCCACCCCCAGAAATTAAGCAAAGAGCATTTATTCTCCCAGGAATATTTTAGATATTTAGCAGATAATTTAATTCTCTGAGAAAGGCATTGACTGCTGCGGAGTGGAGGCCAGACCCTCATTGCAGGCAGACAGGCTCCACTTATTTTTCTGGCTCTTCAGATTTACTACTAACACACTGGCAGGCAGCAGTAGTGGATATGATGATGTAGTGTTGGAAATAATCCTGGGTTTTAGTAATACCTACACACTGCCAGACAATTATGTCCAAAGAGCCCAGATTTTCTAGAAGTGCTGTCCCACCCCCCCTTCTGTTGGAAGCCCTAATTTCCTCCTTGCCTGTCTTCCCTTGCTGTCAGCCCTATCATGTCTCTTGTGGCCAGATCAAGGATGTTTAAATATAGATTCAAAAATTTCTAAGGGAGGAGTGACTCTGGCAAGGCTTTGTGGTCTGACTGATCTGACCAAACTAGTACTGACTATTCATGATCTCTTCCAATACTATCTGGCCCTTCTTTAAATCTGCCAATGTTTTAGAAATTCAGGAATAAAGCAGTAAACAGATGCAGTGAAGCTTCTGAGTTTTTTTCCACACTGGAAAAAAACCCTCTTCTCCCCCCCGCCCCCCTTCTCTGTCTACCTTTTGCAACTTAATACTGACAGGGCTTACTGACTGAACAAAAAAAAAGAAAAGTACTTTTTCTACACTAGTAGGCTTGGTCCTAACCAGTCACACCAGTCACTGCAGGGATGTTTGGGAGATCTGGTTTCAAGCAAAGGCAGAAAGTAGAGTAGTCTTTAAAGCTTTAGTAGAAGTGGATTAGATGAATCTACCCCGTCTTTCCTTTCCCTAAAATTACCTTGAGGATTTGTTTCCTTTTGGACAATTATGACCCTAAAATTATTAAGAGGTATTTCTGATGACTTGAGCTTCTACCATAACCCAGAGTGTTTTTACTTGTCTGTGATTACTTAGACAAAGTGAAACAGTCCCGATCTGTAGTGTGACTGCAAGGGCCTGGTAGAATTATTAGTGTAGTTGCTGAAAGTTGGGGGAAAATCAGAACCTGGTGTGATTTCCTGAAGTGCTCACACATGGTCAGCTTCTCTCCTGTGTGGAGGACTAGCACCAATCCCCTGCAACCACTTCAATCGCACTTATATCCTTAAAATGAGCTTAAGCACTTAGGCTTTGTGCTGGCTTCATGTTCAAGAGTCGATTTCAACCCCTAGCAGTTTCAAGTAACTGAAGTACTTTTTAGCAAAATAATAAATTATAATTTCTGTCTTTTTTCAGAGAACGGTCTGCAGCAGGTCTTGCAGATGGACATCACTGTGTAGGAGCAGGCTTTGACTACACCATACAATGGCTAAAATCATTCTGGTAATAGATAAATAAAACAACAGCCAGAGTGATATAAATAAAAATATATCTATAAAGCAGAAAGAACATAAAAATGAGAACTGAGAGCTGAATCAGAAGGCATTTAACTTCTGAAAAAGGAAAGGTTAACACTGTGGTTGTCGCTACCACAGGGCACTTTTGCCCATGAAAGCAGAAGGTAACATACATATGTAATTGTGTAATATTCTAAGATGCATATAGTTCTGTAATATGGAGAAATATAGAAATAACTTTAAAAGACTGATTGCCTTTGAAGTGTATGAAAATAATGTTAAGAATGACTTAAATCCCTTTATGGGGTTGGTTATCTTCGGGAATAACTAAAAGTCCATTAGTGACTACATGCTATGCATTCTATTAAATCAGCTCTTTTCTCTCAAATCTGCGCCATTGTTTTTTTAAGGTGAAGTTCATCCTTAGGCAAAGTATACATACCTGATGTTGAGTCTGCCATTTATTATAACATCCATAACTCAATACATAAAGCTGTGCATATGGCCTTGATAGCTGTCTGCAGTGGGGTGAATTTTCCTTTTGCATACTGATCCAAGGTGAATGACTGTCTCTCATCAACACTTTCTTCTTCAGTGCTTTATTAATAACAAATGAGAGACTCATGAATCCATTCAATTAATTAATTTCTTCTTGGTCTCCTTTTCTTGCTTAAAGGGTTGATCTGTCTCCAAAATGTACATTTTCTGCATTCCCATTGGGCTAATGACATTTAGATAATTTTTTTACTTTGGAATATAGCCATCCAACTTAAAAGTAGAAAGATATTGTACATTTGAAGACAGTGTTAGTGCCATTCCCTGCCAGTAAATCCCAATGCTATGAAAATGAACAAGGATGGAATCTGCCTTGCTTTGAGGTTATTAGACCAGGCATATCATTGACACACAGGGAGACACTTTCTTTCAGTTATCTTGGCTCGTATAGAGCTTTATTTAAGTTTTGATTCAAATAACCATTTTTTTCCAACCAATTTAGGGGTTATAATATCTGCTGTTGACCTTCTATTACAACCTGTGAACCATCCTGTTTAATGTGAAATTACATCATGTAAGAAATTCCCTTTTGTCCATTATCTTGGTCACTGCCTTGACAGGGCTCTCAAAGAGTCATGGGAGTGTAAATCAGAGATGGGACTAAGAAGTGAGGAGCTCAGGAGTAATAGGTGTGAGTCTAACATGGTGATTCCTTCTGTTCCTAAGGCCACATCAAGAGCGCAGTGAAGAATGGACGTTAGGTGTTTCTTCCTGGCACTGTGTCAAGTGCAGAATATTTTATGCAAATGAAATATCCTGTTCCGAGAAATAATAGATCTGTAGTGATTTCATCCCCATATTAGAGCAAGAAGGTTTACATTGAAAAGATGGGTTGGCCACAACTATGACCACTTGTTGAGCAGAAAAGGAATATTGAGAAGAAATTAATTGTGTGGCATTAGCTAATAAGAAGCAACACATACACAAAAGGGAGGTCAGACAAAAAATTTCATGGACCATAACCAATTATTGTGATTTGCTTAACTGGATTTGGAAATTATGGGAGAAAGTGAGTGTCAGAGTGAGGAAGGTGGAATTCAAAGCTGAAGGATATAATGTATCTGTGTATGTTATGCCTTCGCCTGGGTAATGTCTCAGGCCAGCGATATTGTTCCTGCCTCTATAAGAAAGCTAGGCATGTCGCTGCAAATCTGAGGTGAAGGTAAAATCAGTACCAGCAAATAGGACTCTGCATGCCAGGGGAAGCTGAGGAATATAGTGGTACAGTGACACCTTTGGAAAGTGAGGAGACTTTATGCAGTGAGATGGAATTGTCTTTGGATATCTCTGTGAGAAACTGGATGCATTTTCATCCTGTTTCAAGTGTTTCAAAGTACGTTGTCTCAGATGTTTCTTTTGGAATGGAATCCTATGCTTTTTTCCCTCTCTTGATTTGGGATTCAGTTGCCAGTTACTTACCATGTTGTATGTGCAAGTGTGTTGCATGCACTACTTTCACCTGTTTTCACCAATGACCTTGACAATACACTCTTTAGGGCAAAATACGAAGTAGGAAGTTCAAAAGAAGTGTGAAGACAGGAGGATTTTGCAAAAATCTGAGTAGCCTCATCTGTTCTTAAGCTTTGCTACAGATCAGGTCATATGGGACATATAGAGAAGACAACAAAATCACAGTTGCTTGGAAAGCCAACATCCTTCTATGGGCTTTCCCCTTTGCCTTTCCTGCAGCTTTGCTTAAGTCCTCTCATATGTACGTTTCATGTATGGTGCTGTGCTTGAAGCATGATCTGTTCTCTGTGTTTTCATCAACATAGCTAAACAACTCACAAGTGTCAAGGGATCACCACTTTATCAAGTGGTATAGCAATGATGACAAAATTTCTAGTGTAAGCCCTCATGGCAGCACAGGGTGTTTTTAGTAGAGTAGCACTGCAGAAACACTTAGTGAAACTAGACTACAGACCTGCCAGTCTGTGCTATGTCCCCTCTTGGGATCATATATAAATTAGCATATAAGTACCGACAGCTATATTGTTGACAAACCCTGCTTTGAATAGAATGGAAGACCTCCACTTCTAGTGGGAACACCTCTGTTCTTTTGCTTAAAAGGAGATTGGGTCTGGGAGGGCTGTTTGCTTGTATTTTTCCCCACCCTCAGGACCCTGCTGTGAAGTGTCCTTATGTTTCTTCCCTTAGTACAGGACAGAATTTGGTTGAATTTGTCAAAGATGTTTTCTGTTTCCTTTCCCTCCCCCATTTCTGATGTGGCTGATTCCAGTTGCTCTTCCAGGACTGCCCTGTCTCCTCACAGCTACACCCACTTCATGGCAGAAAGTGAGTCAGCTGCCTGGGTGAACTGAATTCCTTCGGTCTTCCTTGTTATTTTAACATGCAGTTTTAGAAATCAGGTGCGTAAATCACATTTTGGATACAAATCAAAACATGTGATTAATACCTAGACATTTATGGCCATATAATGTCGCACCACAGTTAACAAGTAACATTTGGCTATGGGGTCTGTGCACCTGCTAAGCAGTAATGTGCTACTAATGTTTTAATGAAGGATCCCAGGGAAAAAAAATGCTTTTCTAAGCTAGTGTAAAGCTTGTGTTCCTGGAATGCACATATGTGGATAGGAGAATTGACTTACTGGGAATATAGCCATTTGTTTTCCCAAATTACAAATAATAATTAATAAATAAAATGTTTTCTCATGGCTGTAAGCAGGGAGTTGGGAGAATCACTTGGCAAACAAACTGCTATTTAAGCTATGATTTGCTGAGAATATTTGCACATTACTCTAGAACAGTGGTCCCAGGAGGAACAATACTGAGCAACTTGCATTTTGAGGACAGGTTTGCACTCTCTGGTCTTGGTTTTAAGTTTTTTAATTTACTGTATCCACAAGCAATATCAGAAAGTCTTGTGGGCAACATGTTGCATGTGAAACCAAGATTTGGAACTATGGCTTTCTGTTTATGTATAAAGTTTATTGATATTATGACATACAGAATAGCTTTTTCAAACTGAAAGTAGGGGAAAATCGGAGATTATGTACAGAGACCCTTTCACTGGGAAACTAAAAAACAATCTCCCATCTTGGTTTGGTGCAATCTGTACTAAAATATGTTCTTTAGCATTATGAGGCTAAAGTACAGGGATAAAGTACACAGATGGTTTAGTGCTGCTTCAGAAGCAATGGTTCTCAATGAGAAGTAGAGATCGGCCAATGTCTTCCTTCATTTTTGCAGAGAAACAAAAAAGAAACTCTGCAAGATCTTCCACAAGAATGTGTCCAGGAAACACTTCTCTCAAATATTTGTTACAGTGTTTCTGCTTCATGGAGGGATTCATCTAACCTATGCTAACAGTGGTGAGTGGTAGATCTTTGAGCAGAAGGTGCACGGAACCTTGTGCTGCCATTATCTCATTTGATACCATCTTTATGGATGCAAGTGGACTCTACCAGTCAATTAATATAGATGTTTGATATTAGAGGATGTTTTACTCCCCATGTTGATGCAGAGCAGTATAGTGAAAGAGATGTAAAAGTTGTCTTCAGAGAAACTTCTATATTTATGTTGTTATTCTTGCAGCATGTTTCTCAGGGCCACACAACCCTGAGCTGGCAATGGCAAATAAGAGTTTTGAGAATTTTTTCCTGATCTGATCTCAGATAAAATAAAAATTGAAAATTTGAGAAGACTTATAATTACTGAGATTTGTCAAAATTAATTTCTTTTCTCCTTCACAGACTATTTTTGTTTTCGTTAAACATCATTTTACAATGGAAAATTCTTTTGATAGAAGATTATCTGATTAATTTTTTTTCATTTACTATTTTCCTTGAAAGCATCTTCTCCCTTTACATTTCTGTTCCCATGGCTGAGGATAGTTCAGTGTATGTTCTCTAATAGCTGTCCAAATTGGTTCCGAATTAATCAGATGGTGTGTTGTGAGACTGCCTTTAGGCACTCAACTGTTGCTAATCTGGAACTGGATAAGGTTTAACTCAGTTTCTTGAAAACAAACTTTTCCCCTCAGCTTTTAGTTCAGACAGTAAAAAATCAATCAAAAGGACTTTTTTATGAAAAACCATTTTCAAATTAAAATAAAAACACTTTGAGAAAATGTCAGTTGGTTGTCTATGCAAGTTTGATTAAGAGAGTGGTGAAAGTGAGTGAAAGAATTTGAGAATGCATCTGTACAGTAGGGTTAATTGCAATCTCTCACTCAAGTGTTGTCTCCAGTCATCTCCCTGATCACATTCAAAGCATCTGTCTTGGAAGTGTTCTAGAGGTTATGACTGAGCAAACTGCCTCAACTTTGGTTATAGGCTAGGGCTCGGATGTTGTCTTCATGAGGTGTTGTAGCTGGCCCACTTAGCAGGAAAGAATGAGCCTAAAAATGTGAAATTATGCAAAATCTCCAAGAGAGACCTTCTCTCAGTTGTCCCATGTATCGAAGAGGATGTTCCTGCAA